TGGCACATTTTTCTTTCAGCTGATCAACTTCCTATCCCCAACATACCATCATAGTTTGATGTTGATATCATGAATCATGTGGGTGTTAGGGTAGCTTAAAGTATGTTAAGGTGATGATGCTTCAATGTTTGTCCATAATTCATCACCTACGGAAGTCGTCAGCCTTGACTGGTGCTGATAAAGTAAAAGTGTTGGAGAAGAATTTGGCTGAGTCCTAGCAAAGAATGGATTACGAAACGCTCAACTGAAGACTCACAAATAAAACCTTACTAAGGCCAAGGAAAATGAAACCTTACTTCTCGTCTTTTGAAGGTTGAAAACGACTTCCAAGCATAGATAGGTCAAAACAAGGAACTCGAGGATAAGATTATTATGTTGGAAGCTCTTATCCTTGTGGTCATGGGTTTGAGCCCCATAGTGGGCGTATGTCCCGGCCTTATGTCCACTATAATAATATCATTAGGGTTAATTCACATTTCTAAGGTATTGTCTACTTTAAAATTCTTGTTCATCACGATTTTGTTCTTAAAAGATGTCTCGATGGGTTAAGAGAAGAGGATACATATAAACTACCCTTAGCCATGACTCCTAAGCAATGTGAGACTCATGAATGTACTGGAACATAGTGCCCCAGTTAAGGACTAAGGGTATGAGAGTGGAGCGAGATTCGGCTCTCGATCCTACGGTGGACATCAAATATTCTTATTGAACTCAAAGTGGCTGGCAAGATAAGAAGATGAAGAAAGTTGGCCGATCTTCGAGTCTTCGATTGAAGTTTCTTCCTTGAGAAAGCACAGAGGTCCACCTGCAAAAATACTCTGATACTCAAGTTAGCTTTTAAACAAGAGAATGATATATTTGATATTGAGTTATGAGGTGAGGTCTACTCCCTTATTGAATCCCTTTATATAAGATTAAAAAATAATAATGAACTATGATATATAATATATTATAGAGAAATAAAGATAATTGATAACTAGATAAATACAAATAATATACTTGATGGATTTGAGTTGATTATCATGATCAATAATAAGTTAATTTGGGCAGGTAGGTAGAATAGAGTTTTTGGGTTCTCCTGAAGAAAGAGAGAGTAGCACAGTTATTGAGAGTATGAGAGTATAATCAAACTTTGTAGCTTTGAGATGATGAAGGATTCACTACTACAAAATATACTTTCTACGTCATCATTTAACGTCGGTTATAGCTGAGACGACGTAGAAAGTACTTTCCACGTCGGTTCCAGATGAACCGACGTTGAAAGTTGAATATTAAACGCATTCTACGTCGTTCTTAGTCAGTCAGACGTAGAAAGTACCTTCTACGTCGGTTCCCATATAAGCCGACGTTGAAAGTCTTTTTTTTTTACTTATTCACGTTCGTTGCTCACGTGGACTTCTTCTTACTGTTCCACGTCGGTTCCCATATGAACCGACGTTGAAAATCTTTCTTTTTACTTATTGACACTTTCACGTCGGTTCCCATATGAACCGACGTTGAAAGTCTTTCTTTTTTTTACTTATCGAATCACTCGCTTAACATTTGGAAAGTCATTCGATATTTGACCTACTACTTAAATTTGAAAATCGCCATATGTTGAACTGCTTTAGAGTTGAAGACGATACTCCAAACTAAGCTACAGAACTACTAGTTAAATTTTACGATAATAACTTACAAATAAATTATATTTATATACAATTAAATATATATCCATGTAAATATATATTTATTTGTATATATTTTCTGGAAAGTATTTTTATTTTTATTTTCAACCAAAAATTCTCTTAAGTTAATGAATTGTCACTGATAGCATTTGAACCCGAGTATTTTAGGGTTGAAAGTTAATATCCCAACCACTAAACTACTATAATTTGTTGTAAACTCTATAATTTTTTGATAATAACTTACAAATAAATTATATTGGTATTTTTCGATCGAGGGTGAAAGTGTGATTAACTCTTGCTTGAGTGAAAACATGTTAAAGCTCACGAAATTCACTTACACAAGTCTCGCTTGAGCGAAAATTGGTATTTTTCGCTTGAGAGCAAATAACGCGTGTCCCAAATTTATTTTATATCATTATATAAATAAAATTATAAAGATTATATTCTGTCATTAAATTACAAACTCATATAAAGATACCTCCTGCTCACAAATTTAGCATCAAATTTTGAAAACCCACTCGACACACACTTTCACTTTCGAGTGTGCCCTCACATCTAACATATAAATATATAACTATATAAATATAACAAAATATATAAATATATTTGGATTTATATATTTATATATTTACACGGATATATATTTATTTGTATATAAATATAATTTATTTGTAAGTTATTATCGAGAAAATTCTAGTAGTTTAGTGGTTGGAGTATCAGCCTCCAACTCTAAAGTACTTGGGTTCGAATCCTGCCAATGACAATTCTCTTAAAAAATTAATAAACTTCTAAAAAATATAATATAAAGAGATGGAGGACCTAATAAAAATATAATATAAAGAGAGGGGAGACTTCTAGATAAATAAAAGGGGTAAAGGGGTTGTAAATAAATAAAAATTATTAATTTAAAAAATCATACTTTCAATGTCGGTTCTAATAAGCTTTATTTGTAGTAGTGATTTGGAAGTGAATAAGGTGGGATTTACATTGTAATCATATGTCAATATTAATTTAATATTCCTAGATCTAAGGCATCGTTATCCTTCATGAACGTGTGCCAACAACATTGGTTTTGATTATTCAAAACTTTAATGAAATAACAGAATATATAGATTTAATTACATATGTCCATTGAATTTGTAATTCTTACGAATTTTAAATTTGAATATTTAGTTTTACAAATTTTATCACTTTAATTTTAAAATATACATGTTTGACCTTTCTGTTAATTAGTTGTCAAATTGCTAATAACAATATTATGGAATAAGTTTTAATTTAGAGTGGAATATACATTATTTATCACTTAACTTTATACTTCTACACATTTTTCCATAAACTTGAAATTTAGCATATTTTATATTTTATTAGTGATGATAATGATTCATCTTTAAGACTAAAATCAAGCATAGATAGATCGTAACTATGTTTTGTCATGAGAAAGTAAATTGGTTTAGGAGAAATAACACTATTATAGAAAATTTTAAGTTTATTTATGTTTAGTATTTATAGTGGTGGATCTTCGTTTATTTTAAGAGGCCAAATGATACATTTTTTTGTTGGATCCTATATTTCTTCAAACATAACAAAAGAGATAGAATCAGAGCTATTCTTTAAAAACCTTTCTGAATAGAATTAGAAATGATTTCTAGTTATTTTGTTTGTAAGAAAATGCTGAACTCTTTCTCATTAAATTAAATATTTGTTTTAATATGTTCATCATTATTTCGTTTTGAAATATTTAAGTAAATCAAATAAAGTTAATGTTTTTTTTTATTTATGTATAAATTTTATAAATTACACCAGTGATACTTCAGAATTTAAAATGTATAACATTTGATGTTAAAAAATACTGGAATATGTATATAATATGGGATAAATATTTATTTTATCCTAGATTATACATATTGGATAAAATAGTGGTATCAAGAACTTTAAGATATGAGAAGAAGGAAGAAAAAAAGAAAAAGGAAAAGAATAATGACGATGGTAGGAGTTAGGTTGTAAGACAATGACATATGTCATTTTACTCTTTATTTTTTAATTTAAAAGTATTTTCTAAGTTAATTAATTTCTTTATAAACTATGCATTTAACATGTTTTCAATAAAAGTATAGCATAATTCAATTTTTCTTAATTTGTTGCATTTTACATAATTTTACCATAAAAAAAATGCATACATACATCTACAGTGCATATTTCCTTTTGTTAGGAGAAAGGTAATTTGAGACGAGCCAAATTGATTGAAATGAAGGCTTAAATCGATGTAGCCAAACTTCACTCTTTTTGAAAGTCCAAGTTTGCTTGTGCAATCTACTTGTAGAATGTTACAAATGAAAATTTTGAAACAAGCAAATTAATAGTTGTGGAAATCCAATTTAGCTTAATTAAAGGCTAGCATAATCAAGAATTAAATGCAAATCAGTGCTGGATCACTCAAAATAGGGAAAAAATCGATTATTTCCTCCAAATCAGTCCCAAGAATTTCTCACTGCGCATAATATACTACTGCAATTTTTAATTTAGGAAAGATTTGATTTCATTGTAATTAATTTCACGTTTATTCTCTCTTTGTCAGTTTCCTATAAATAAAGGTATGATGAGAATACAATCATAATTTCATGCTCCAAGGCAAACAACTGTTTTGTCTTATTCTTGTTTTCCTTTTCGTTCTCACTTTTTTAGTTAGGTAAGTTCATCTACTATTATTGTACTTTTGGTTTGTTTTCTTTTATTTAATTTGTAATTTCTATTGAATTTTTCAGTTTATATTGTTCTGTTTACTTTAATCATTTAATGCTCAATTTATTTTCTGCTTTTTAATTATTTAGAATCTGTATTTTAGTCCAGTGCTTCTTAATTTTTATTTTCAATTCATCTCTTTTCTCATTCAAATTACAATTCTCAATTTAGTTTTAGAGTTATCGCTTTCGAAATTTCAATTTAATAATTACACTATTTTATTTTAAAGCAATTTTTATTTTACACTTTTTTTAATTTTAATTAAAAATACTTTATTTTAATTCTATAAATTTCAATTATTTAAATCATGCTTCAATTTAATTTTAATTGTTGTTATTATTGTATTGCAAATTGACTTTAATTTTTATTATTCTCGCATCAATTTATTTTTTCACTATTTCATTTTATTATCATCAACCTCCCCCCTTCCCTTATTTACTATTTTAGAGAGAATGATGTTTGGCATTGTGTACATTCATGTAATTGTGTCCTAGTGATATTTGACATGGGTTAGCTATACTACATTAGTTTAACAACTTGTTTGTTATTTTTTATTAGTATTTTGTGTGATCAAAATGTTATCGTTAGGTAACATACCAGTGTTCGATAGCAAGAATCTGAATGAGTATGATAGTTATTGCGTGAAGATGAATGTCATTTTTTGAAAAAAGTCTTGGATGTGGTACTAAATGGATAAGAGAGGCTACTAGAGAACCCCACCGAGGTATAGTGTGTGATGTTTCAAGAAACAAAGAAACGTGATTGTAAAGCTATGTTCTACATTCATCAGTGTGTCGATGAAAATAACTTTGAGAAGACATCGTTGGCAAACTTGGTGAAAGAAGCCTGAGATATACTGGCGCACAGTTACGCAGGCGTGGAGAGGTTGAAGGTGGTGTGACTTCAAACATTGCATCGTCAATATGAGTTGTTGTAGATGTGAACGCAAGAAACTATCTAAGAATACTTTATAAGATTGTTGTCTATCACAAACTTGATGAAGTAATGTGGTGAATGTTAGAAAGAACGAGTGATGATGGAGAAGGTGTTGAGAACCCTCGATGCTAGGTTCGATATAATTTTTGTAACTATTGAAAAGTCTAAGGATCTCGATTTGTTGAAACTTGATGAACTACAGGGGTCATTGGAGATTCATGAACAACGGTTACGTGAGAGAGTGGAAGAGAAGTCTAACACAAAATAGGTGTTGTTGATGAAAAAAAAAACCAAAAGAATGAAGGAAATCAAGGAAAATCAAACAAAAAAGGTCGACGAAGAGGTAAAAATAATGGTGGACGAGGCTCATAAGGGCAACAAGAAAGCTCTTCACAATTGAGAGGTAGCAGAGCCAGAAACTCATAGTGGAGAGGTGGTTGATCTGGTTCTAGTAAGAAGAATGTACATACAACTATTATAACTATGGTCCTTATGCTACTGACTGTTGGAGCAAAGAAGAAGTAAATGTTGCACTAAAAATGACTTGGAGGATGAAGTGTTTTAATGGTGACCATGATGAAACCATTGGAGACTTTTAGTGAATCTTGATATTTGGATATTGGTTATTCGAATCACATGCCATTTCAATAGAGTTGGTTTGTTGATCTTGATGAAAATGTGAAATTGAAGGTGAAATTTGCAGATAACTTAATAATGAGTTGTGAAGGGAAAGTAGAATCATGATCAGAAGGAGAGATGACAAATCTGCAATAATTTTGGATGTGCTCTATGTTCCAACCATAAAACACAAATTATTGAGTATTGGTCAACTTCTTTAAAAAGGACATTTGATCGGTTGAAGATCGAGGGAGAAAATGTTAAGAGTTCTCGATAAGAATGAGACACCGATTTTGAAGGCACCTCTGAGCAAGAATAAAGTTTTTGGAGTTCATATTCCAATATCGAATGACTTGTGTTTTGCAACAACAGTCTCTTATGTCAATTGGTTGTGACATTTGAAGTATGGTCATCTTGGCTTCGATAATTTGAGCCAACTTACAAAGAAGGACATAGTGATTGGTCTACCTTGAGTCCAAAAATTTGAAGACATATGTGAAGGTTGCATGATAGGGAAACAAGCTAGAAATTCCTTTAAGGTGCACATGAAGACCAGAAGCAAGCATGTGTTGGGAGTTATCTGCACCAATGTGTGAAGACCATTCGATGTTTTTTCACTAGGTCAAAACAGGTATTTTGTGACATTCATCGATGACTATGGTAAGAAAATGTGGGTGTATGTGCTCGAGAATAAGTCAGAGGTGTTTAATTGTTTCATCAATTTTAAATCGATGGTCGAGAAACAAAGTGGTAGAACTATTAAAATGTTGAGATCAAACGGTAATGGTGAGTACAACAATGGTGAGTTTGTATCATTAACCAAAGAGAAAGGTATTATGTATGTGATTGTACCTCATACACACCACTACATAATGGAATTGAGGAGAGAAGAAATTGAACAATTTTAAATATGATCAAAAGTATATTGAAGACCAAAGACTTGCCACATTCGTTCTAGGGAGAAGTGATATTGACAATTGTGGTCTTTCCAATAATTATAAGCACACGTAGTAATGTTGTTTTCATCAAATTATTTTTTTTGTTGTTTCAAATATTTTAATGAATATGTTATTGTTTAATTCATTACTATTACTTATTAAATATATCCAATTTGCTTACACATTTTTGTTATTTTTTGTTACATGTGTAGATGTCAGACAAAAGAAAAACCAAACATATTTTAAAAATTCGTTCAATGAAGGATCAATTTAATCAATTTCCAGGAAATAGCATAGTTGGACCACAAGTTGGATGTCCATTAGCTCGAACTATTGCGGAACATGTTATTTCTACCCCTTCAGTACAAAATAAGTCTATTGAAGTCCCTTCTGTTAGATCACACATTAGTCGTACTAAGTACTAAATCTCTTCTATTTACTTCACCATTAGGAGCATAATCACCACATGAGACACCTATTGTTTCCCCACAAAGTCTTCAAGCATCTAACTCTGAAACTCAAGACACATTTGTTTCTCATGATGATCACAATGTATGAGATGTTCAAAGCACTTGTTATAAACCCATTTTAACACTTATGGATATGGATAAATAACTTAAATTTTAACAATATTATATTTTGATCACACTCTATGTACTTGTACTTTATCACTTTATTTTTGTTGTAGATTTTTTCTTTCATACTTGTTGAATTATTGGCAAGCGTACCAAATTATGCTTACTAAGTAGATTAAAACAGATTAGGTTTTGCAAATAAGAGTTGAATTGAAATTAAATGACAAAGACTTGTAAATTGTTGAGAAAATATCAATTAAAGGTACTTAGGATTGACTTCCTTCCTTATCCCTCTTTTGTAATGGCTATGTCAATTAAGAACGTCAATTAACCTAACAATGTTGATGTCACCTACTCAAATCATCCATGTTCATTCCTCACACATGAAATTCATAAGAAAACCTAATAAATGTTGATTCCTCACACAATTAACAGATTTTCTAGCATTAGGGTTAGGGTGTTTAAGCAATTGATACATTCATTCCATTCCTGGAAATTAACGTAACAAATATTCTTACCGTGATCTAGGGTTCAAGATATATTTTCCAATCATACCTCAAACAATCAAGAATAAATCATTCCAAAGCATAGAAGATAAGAATAACAACATCAAAGCATAGATTAATATCTCAAAATATCACCATGATACAAAAGAGTTCAAAGGAAGTGCACCGAATCCTAAGAGAATGAAGTTAGCCACTCATGTTGGCCATTACAATGCTCCAATTGATGAAGTGAAGAATTGATGAAGATTAGACAAAATCCTAACAGTAGTCGTGCCTCCTCTCCTCCAAGACTGCTTCTTTTTCTCAAAACACAACTTATCTTTTTATAAGAGAATTTGGGTCGGGTCTTGCATCATTCATTCGCTTAAGCGCTCTTCTTTCTTTCAATTTTACTCTAATTATGCTGACAATTATGTTCCTTCCTTTTGTATCAAGGTATTCTCGAATTCATCCTATATTGGGAGAAAAATATATTAGAATTAACATAAGTTAAGTGGTTTCATAACAATTCAAGGCATAATTATATCAACTTTTTACCACGTAACAACTCCCCCCAACCTAGAATCTTGCTTGTCCCAAGCAAAGTAATTTTTTCAAAACAAAATCATCACCTATTATCTTTTTCTCTTCTAGAACCACAACATAAAAATTTTCAGAGGTGATGCTCACAACTCCAAATGAAAATAGAACACATAAGCATTCAAGTTATAAAAACCAACAAAGAATAATTAGTCCTCAACTATCCTCAGAGAAGCATGATCTCTCAAATAGAATTATATATACTCATCTCTAATTCTCATAGGTAAGTGTTTATCTCATTCAATCACTTCATTTAGAGAATCCAATATTGATAATCATCTTCAAGCAATCAACAATTGTTAAACAAGACTTAAATCAAAAGGTCTTTTGATGCTTGTAATGGGGTCGGGCTAAGAAAGAATTATTGGTTTTTCTGGGATATACAAAAATATTTGAGAAATTTAACTCATATGAATGATTCTTGATTAACAATTTTCTCAAGTTAGGTTTCAAACTTTATGCTTTTGTCCCTAACACAATGACAATGAGTTAATAATCTCACAAGTTATTACCCCCCCTTTTGAATTTTTTTTTTTTTTTTTGCATGTATCCTTTTTTTTTGCTTTGCAAATTTTTAAGCTTTGCTTTTCCTTTTTCTTTACAATTTTTTTTAATAATAACACCCCAAAAATACCTGTAGGACAACAATAGCAATACCCAACAATAAGAAAAATAGTGACATTCATACTCATTTCCTTTCTCAAATAAAGGAAGGTAGATAAATAGTGTTTAGGCTTAAGGGTTCTGTTTAAGAAACTATTATTTTTTTGGCTCAGAAGGGGTTCAAATGGATGTCCTATAATTAATGCATGGTTGGCTATTTGGCTCTGGGTTATATCTACTACAAAGAAAAAATGCCTTTATCATTTTCAAGTCTTGCTAACATGTAATCACATCAAAGAATCAACCAATATCAATTATCATCACAAAGTGTTGACACTCAATTTATCTGTTTGTGGTACTCTGCTCACCTGGGTTTTGGCTAGCTTCTCCAATTCAGTTAATTCCTAATTTTCCTCATCAATTACTTTTCACTATCATACTCAATATCCCAAAATCACTTGTTATTGGAAACAATCAAAATTATTTTTCATGTTCTAGATTTGAATTAGACAATAAGCAATAATTTCATATATGGCTCTAAAACAAATTATGGGACAACAAGGGAATTCAAAATTTAAAATAAAGCAATTAAATTAAAAACAAAGGAATTAAAAACATTAAAAGTAAAGTAAGTTTCCTCCCTTATTTTCTTTACTTGTCATCTACTCCTTATCTTGTGCCTCAGCCTCAGCTGCAGACTTTCTCACCCCCTCCAAAAAAGTTGGACTGTCCCCAAGCCATTGAAGTGAGGCTTCAAAGTCTTGAGGAGAAGTGCACTGTGTACTTGGAGCAATCTTGCAAAGAAAGAACCTAAGGAAGAAAAATACACAAAAAAAACTTAAACTGCAAAAAGAAAAAAAAAACAAATTCAAAACATTGGGTTGCCTCCCAGGAGCGCTTGTTTAACGTCTTCAGCTTGACGCCTATTTGCTTTAAGGCTCATGCAGGTGAGTGATCAAGGTGATATATACGCATTCTCCATCCCTTGACTGTCCTTGTGGGAATGAATTTATTC